ATTAAACTTTTGGCATTTGACTCGTTATTTCAGTCAAAACTGGGGGTCGTGTTACCTAGGTAGTACGCCACCCTCTCTAAGAAATTGACATAAGGCGCCATGGCGCCTAAAGTTAGAGAATTCGGTATTACATTTTTCTATTAATGCAGGTATTTGTACAATAATTGTGTTTCCGTACTAAATCATTATACCAAACAATACATTGTATTGAATACAATGTCAATTTTGAATGAGATGTTATCTTTTATGCATGAAAACAATTTTACAAATAATTATGGAAAATTACAATATTTATTTAGAATCAATACAATTATTTAATATTGATATAAGGGTTACATTGAAAATATGGGAGACAAAAGAGCGAGATATATAATTGGATAGCAAACCAAAGAATCGTTACATCAATTGTGTTGATTCAGTGGTCTTATGGCACACTATAAAGGGCAATATATTGGACAGGTGCACAATTAGACTTAGGTATCCCTCCATTTACCAAATCACTATTAAATATGCAACTGACTTGTGAGTAAATTCATAAGTACAGTATACTGTTACAATGTACGTAAGTACAAACAAATTTTAATAATGGTACATCTGCAGAAAAACATTAATTAGTGCTGTTGTAAAAAAAATCAAGGCTTCAGCTGATAATTAACTGTAAGACAAATCAATGTCTTTTCATCCGTAAAATAGTTTAAAGAATTGTCTAAAGAATAGTGTTTCATATCATAAGTGTTTGTATCGAGTCATATAGAATCCTATAATTCTTAGTCATATTCATGGATTGCGAGGAATTAATAGAAAAAGTTGGATCTTTCGGTTTATATCAGAAAATTCTGGGACTTTTTCTGTGTCTATTAATTGCACCGTTTTTTGCTTTCAATGATTTGACACAATTCTTGCTATTTCTGGAGCCAAAACATAGCTGTTCCCGACAGACAGAGACGGTTGACGTCTACTATAATGTCCTCTGGTTTGTAGAACCGGAGCATAATATCTCAAAAAAATGTGAATTACAAGACGTTTTTGGCAATAAAACTAAATGTATTTATGGTCATCAGTATAATTATTCTCATATCTATCCCACAATTGTGTCCGAGGTAAAAATTGAATAATTTTTACAGTAAATAGTTTATGAAAACTTAGAAATATTAATATTTAAAATTTAATTACAGAATAATTTTGTTTGCGAAGACAGTTGGAAATTATTTTTTGTACACACAATATACTGGACCGGATCATTTTTTGGGGTTCATGTTATCGGTAGTATTTCTGATAGGTAATAATTAATCTCTTAATTAAAGTTTTATTGAACTCTTAATTAAAAATCCAAATATTCTTAGATATGGAAGAGTGCCGGCGATTGGCATTTGCCATCTAATCGGTGCCATCGCAGGGACGGCCACTATATTCTTCTCGCATAACTTTATATTGTTATTAATCTCGAGAGCATTCATGGGTTTTGTGGTGTTATCTCAGGGCATGTTTGCCGTGGTTTTAGTGATGGAATTTGTGGGAATTGACGGCAGAATGATTATATCGACTCTATTTTTACTCAGTTACTCCATTACCGCTACTATTCTTCCATGGGTTGCATATCATATCCATGACTGGAAGATATTAAGCATTATGACATCTGCACCACTATTTATAATACCAATCATTTGTTTGTAAGCAATCTATAACAATATCATTAATATAGTAAAGAACTGCATATAATTTCGTCCAAATTAATAGCTTTATTCCGGAATCCATTCGTTGGCTCATCTCTAAAGGGAAGCATTCAAGGGCTGAAACAATAATACAAAAAATTGCGAAAATCAATAAAACACAAGTTTCTCATATAATTTCGTTCAAATTAATAGCTTTATTCCGGAATCCATTCGTTGGCTCATCTCTAAAGGGAAGCATTCAAGGGCTGAAACAATAATACAAAAAATTGCGAAAATCAATAAAACACAAGTTTCACCCGATGAGATTAGTCTTAAGAATATTAAATTAGACGAAAACAAAAGGGAATCATTACTTCAATTGTTTACTTATAAAAGACTCCTAAGAATATTTATTCTGACAAATATTCTTTGGTAAGTCATTAATACAATAATAAGAGTAATCATAATTAAATGGTTTGTGATGACAGGGCTCTGCAGAATATAGGCTACACGGGAGCCAACCTCCATGCGGCCAATTTGTCCAACAGACCCTTCATAATGTTAAGCGTCAACTCAGGTCTCGATGTGATCACCACCTTCTTCTCCAATAAGTTCTCCAACACTTACGGCAGGAAAATCACGACAATTGTGTCGTGCCTTTTGGCCGCAATCGCATACATTGCGGCCGCTATTGTCACACTGTTCACGGATAACACGGATAACACGGATAACACGGATAAATGGTACATCCAAATGGTTTTCCTATTATTGGGTCGACTCACCTTCACGTGTGGCTATAATGTCCAATACATATACGCCGCCGAAGTATACCCGACTGTCATCAGGAGTCGAGCGCTGGCCGTACGCCTAGCGGTCGGATCTATTGGTAATATGATTAGTCCACAAATCGTAAAGCTGTCGGAAATCAACGAACAAATCCCATTAATCATCTTTGGTTTGTGTGCTCTCATGACGTCCGCACTTATGGTGAAACTCCCGGAAACACTCGACAAACCATTGCCCGAGACGTTAGAAGACGGCGACACATTTGGCAAGAAAACCAAATCAAATCACAAGAATGTGAATATGAGACGACGGTCCACATTCATAGCCGTATGTATGGCAACGGTAGAGATACCACTCAATTACAACACAAAGGGCATCACCGACGGAACCATACCGAACAGCATTGAACTCAAAGTGAACGCTATGTTCAAAAGCGACTTAAAACAAAGCACCAAATTGTAAATACGGTAACAAATCTATTTCCACAAAAAAAATACTTATTTACAAAATAAAATAAAAGTCAAACTAAGAGACAATGAGTGCTATAATCAGACGAGTAGTACGGCGTTAATACAGCCATCATTTTCCGGGTTATTGGTCACCTGAGCGTACTTACCCCACACCACTTTCCCCGATTGGGTCACGAGACCCAACTCACTGATGTTCACTTCGATGACCGTTCCCTTCGTGATGACACCCAACGACGTATACATCGGCGAACTCGGGTTCTTCTTCACGCCGATGATCGGCAGACTGAAGGTCGCCCTCAGCTCCGGGTGCGTCACGTGCGCCGTCTTGAACCTCAGGGCCATCGGACGGATAAAGCGCTCAAATTTGGGCGGTTTTCGGGTGAAGCCGTCGCCAACGAAACACACTTTCGTCACCATTCGCTTCCAA